TTCACTGACTCTTCTCTGTCTCTGTCCTCTTTCGTGAGCTTTCTATTAGTTTCCTGGTAACTTAAATCAAGCTGTTTTTACTATACTGTCTCCTGTTGTTTGGAATAATATTAGTAGTTCATCTTCAGATAATTTTCTGCCTCTGGGGGGAGAAGTGTCTATAGAGCACAGCTGTTGGAGGAAGTGCCCAAAGAAAGCATTATGCAGCAGCCCAAAATGCCCAAGATTTTCTGGCAAGAGTTTCAGAAAAAGCTACAGCCAAAAGACCTCTTAAAGGTATACATGTCCTAATATTTCTGCTTTGTAAAAAGAAACAAAAACATTATTTGCAATGCAGAACATGTGAAATAATACTACTGTGATGTCAGTAAAATGGAAAAATTGTTACATATTCAGAGGAAACCAGGAAATCCTTGGTGGCATCTATTTCCATTTTAAAAAAAAAAAACATCAGAACGCTCTTTGGGCATCTCATTTTCTGAGGATGGATATTCTTCAATATTAATATGGCAAAGGATGATTTTGACAAAGAATTTCTCATTTGAACACTGTAAGCTCTCATTTAAGAGTGAAGGAATGAAATTTAACTTCAAATATAATGGGGAACATTTTAGTAGCTCTGTTTAGCTGTGTATGAGGAAGATGATTAAACAGCTTTTGGGTTGCTGACTTGTGCAGTGTTTCCTGTATCACCAGTTCTATGCATACCTCCAAGGGGGCTGTTTGTATACATGTGGGGTTCTGTTTACTAGTGAATCAAATGGGAGGGTGATTTCATTAAACAGTAATCAGTGAAGAACTTCATGAATTTTGACTGGTATTAGGGGCCTATAATCTTGTCATATCTAGTTTAATGCTAATTTGCTTCTTTAGCTAATTGTAATGCTTAATGGTACGTCTGTACCAGATAAGAAATTAGTTTTGCTGATTGCATGTATGACTCTGGGTCAGGAAAATGAGGTCAATAAGGGAAAAACCTCATTTTCAGTAGGAGGATTTAGTGGAGATTACTGTTGGTAAAGGGGGCATGTAACCATTTATGCAAGTGAACTCCCTCTGTCCCCCTCTCTTCTGCTCCCCCCCCCCAGAATAGAGGGGAGAAATCCAAGCGAAATTCTCCTGTCCTCCTTAGTGGGCATTAAGTTGGAGCAAGACTGACTTTTTTTTTTTTTGCCCAGCTTATCTTTGCTAATTCAAGCAAACAACTTATTCTCAAGCTTGTTCATTTTTCAAGAATAATGTCTAAAGGCAAAACAGTTCCCAAATTACTTTTGGTTAAGTTGTTTGCATATGCTTTGTATTCCTCCTATCTTAACGTAAAGCAAAATAGCAGTATACAAGCGCAGGTTGGGGAGGAAGAGGAGGAATTTGAGGCCTAACCCTTTGTGACAGGAGTCAGGCAGGCAGAGAATTGAAGAAGGCACCTGGCAGAACAGCAGGGGGATATGAGGTTTTCCAGATACTAAGATACAGTAACTTGTAGAAGATCGTTTGGAAGCTGGGGAGCTTGCAGTACTTCAGTGATGGGGATGTTTATAAACAGAAAATCCAAACAGTTCTCTTCAGTTTGGAATCCCTTGTATAAGAATTTTGGTTATCTATCTCATACTGCTATAGTTTGGTGCTTATAAAATCACAAGGATGAAACTCATGCTGTAGTCTGTCACAAGACAGGTGTGCTTTCAATATTGTAGAAGATTCAAGTATGAGGCAGTCTCTTTTTTGTTTCTCCCCCCCCGTTTCTCCCCCCCCGTTTCATTTGCAAATAAAAGTCTTATTTCACAAGAGTACTGTGAACACTCTTCTGAATAAATTCAGTTCTTCAGGATGTTGGATCATGAAAGGAAGGTACAGTCCGAGGTCTATTGGTGACTCCATTTTCAAGGGAAGAGAATGTCCTGCTATAACCTTATCTCCAAGGGAAGGATCCAAGTCTCCTGCTGCAGGGCTGGACTTGGGTGATTTATGGTGACATAGATTATCCCAAAAAACTAAAGGTATACAAGGATTTGGCTGACTCCTGCTTATTCAAGGTTATTCTGGTGCTGGGACCGTCTGAACTTGTAAGTAAAGATTCTGTGACCCTGGGAACTGTCTGTATCCCTAATGTGGGAGAATGGGAGCATCTGTCTTCTAAATATCACTATCTTGGACATTATGTGCTGGACTGTATAGAGGGTTTATTACTTCCCCGTGAAGTATCTGTTGGAGGGACAACACGGCAGGTCATAAGCAGTCCGGGAGATTCCTGGAATGCATCAATGATAACTTCCTTCTCCAAGTGGTAGAGGAGCCAACGAGGAGAGGTGCTATGCTGGACCTTGTTCTCACCAACAAGGAGGGGCTGGTGGGGAATGTGAAGCTCAAGGGCAGCCTTAGCTGCAGTGACTGTGAAATGGTGGAGTTCAAGATCCTTAGGGCACCGAGGAGGGCGTGCAGCAAGCTCACTACCCTGGACTTCAGGAGAGCAGACTTTGGCTTCTTCAGGCATCTGCTTGGTAGAGTGCCATGGGACAAAGCGCTGGCGGGAAGAGGGGCCCAAGAAAGCTGGTGAATATTCAAGGATCACCTCCTCCAAGCTCAGGAGTGATGCATCCCAACAAAGAGGAAGTCAGGCAAAAACGCCAGGAGGCCTGCATGGATGAACAAGGAGCTCCTGGATACACTCAAACACAAAAAGGAAGCCTACAGAGGGTGGAAGTGAGGACAAGTAGCTTGGGAGGAATACAGAGAAATTGTCCGAGCCGCCAGGGATCAGGTTAGGAAAGCTAAAGTCCCGATAGAATTAAATCTGGCCAGGGACATCAAGGGCAATAAGAAAAGCTTCTATAGGTTCATCGGGGGTAAAAGGAAGACTAGGGAAGATGTGGATCCTCTCCGGAACCAAATGGGAGACCTGGTTACCTGGGATATGGAGAAGGCTGAGGTACTCAATGACTTTTTTGTCTCGGTCTTCCCTGGCAAGTGCTCAAGC